CCGCCTCCTCCTCCTCCTCCTCCTTCTCCTCCTTCTCCTTCTCCTTCTCCTCCTTCTCCTTCTCCTTCTCTCCTCCTCCTCATCCCCTGCCACCTCCCTTCTCCCTCCCTCTCCCTTCTGTTTCATCTCCTTCTTCCTCTCCTCCTTCACCTTCCCCCCTTCCTCTTCCTCTGCCTTCTCCATCTCCATCTTCAGATTGAACTCAGGACCTTTCTCTGAGCTATAACCCCAGCCTTCTTTCTTTTGTTTTTTGTTTTTTTTACTTTTGAGATAGGGCCTTGTTAAATTGCTAAGTTGCCTAGGCTGGGCTTGAATTTGTGATCCTCCTGCCTCAGCCTCCCAGGGTGCTGGGATTATAGGAATGTACCACCAAGTCTGACTTACCCTTCACTTTTTAAATGGGAAAACTGAGGCCCAGGGGAAGGGACTGTGCATTATGCATGTTTCACTAAAATTTTAAGAAGGTGATACAAGATGGGGGGGGGATGCAAAGATGAGGCCTTTAGCAACCAGGGAGGTTGCTGAGTCAGTAGGGTTTAAGCCAGGTAGGAGCCTCTAATTCCTCCTTCCTCTGCCTCTCCTGTTCTTCTGTCTGTTTTTTGTTCTCCCTTTTTCATAGACAGAAGTTTATCTTTCTGGTCCCAAATGATGATGGTGGCATTCTGTTCTCATCACAGAACCCCAGTGGGGCACAGCCTTGATGGCTATGCACGGCTAAGCCATTGACAATCACCCTCTTTCTTCTGAGAGCTGGGACTGGAACCCAGGGCCTCACTCATGCTAAGCAGGTACATTACCACTGAGCTACACTCCCAGCCCACGATACCATTTTATGGTAAACACACCAGGTCTCAGTGCCTGGAGGGCCTCACATGCAGAACTCAGTCAGACCCATAACTAATGCAATAAGAAACCACTGTTTCCCAAGTATTACTGTGCCTGCCTGTCTGCATCATCTTCTTAAAACTCAGTTCCATCTGTAACCCCCAGGACTCCTTTTGTTGTTAGGAAAACTTGAGTTTCATAGTGAGGGCATCTGGGGGGATGCTTTGGGGCACAGAAGGTGAAGATTCATGTTTTCAAGTTGTATCAGAACCAGCTCCCAACTCCCTCTCATCCATTTGC